AGCCTCACACCCATCGACCACTGCCACTCACTTGCAGCGGTCAACCAGAAACGGCAACAGCAGAACAGCGTTGTGTGTTCCGTATGTGCGTGTGCCTGCCGGCTGGCCGGCCGTGGTTGCAGATTTTCTCCTTGCAGAACTTCTGGAGTTGGAAAAGCGACTGTACGATTTGCAGTGGCGACCCCGTCGACGGGCCTGCTTCTACATATGGGAGTGGTGGCGTCGCACGCCCACACCATTAAGCACCAAGCAGAAGACAAGGACAGCTGGCAATCCCCCGATGTGGCTTGCTTTCTTTCCTGCTTGTGTGCCTTTTTTCGTCTCCTAATTGCTTTGTCGCCATCGGTTCGCCTTGATTTTCTGATACTTGCTGGGCGCTTGGGCAGGCAGGCCTCCATGAACCGACGACCTAGACTTAGGTTAATGAGTGAGCAAGTAAGTGATACAGACCTTGTTAGGCCCAATATTTTTATTCATTTGGGTTCTCGACCGCTTTCGAGGAAATTCAGACCCCGGAGACCAAAAGGACAACGCACAAAGACCAGGCCCGGTAGATTGGGAGCACCAGTCCACAAGGCTGATTTCTCGGCCCCAACCGGCAGCGGCGGATGCGGCAGCAGGTGCGAGGCATCCGGCCACTGCAAATTTGGGGTCCTTTTGAGAGGGTGGAAAGGGGCTCAAATTATTACGGTCGCGATATCTGGCGCGGGAGGAAAAGAAAGGAGACAGAAGCTAAAGCTGCAAGTCAGCAATCGCAGGCGCTGGTTGGCGGGCGGCCATACGACAGTTGCGATGCGTTTGGCTTCACGTTGGGGGTGTCCCGGCTTGGTGGTGATGACCTTGACAGGCTCACTTACGCGCCATACAATACCATCGCCAACATTGCCAATCTTCGGTGGTGCCCGACACCTTCAACTCTTTTTCCCAGCTTGTCCCGGATCGCAGTGTCAAGTGATAACGGGCTGTGCCTGCACGAATCTGATTCTTGGGTCTTGGCCAGCTGCTGTCATTTGTCGGCCGTGGATCGTGTAACGCACCGCCAGAGCGTGCAGAGGTATGATCGTGTCGCTTTGCATCTTTCGTGCTTGACGCATTAATAACTTTAAAAAGATATCATCCGCTCTCTTTGCAGCGTAGCAACGCGTGTCATGTTGCCTGCCGCATTTCCAGCTGAGTTGTCGGTCTGTTCTACCGGGTTATTCATAGCACGATCATGGTGAGCCGATGACCCTCGACAGAAATGATTCTGATTTTGCCCAAATTTGCCGATAGCCAGTCCCGGGAATAGCAAATGCTTCAGACAGGGAACCATAGGGTAAATCAGTCATCGCATCTCGCAGCCGATTCACAGATTGATGGACACATACCTATTTGCACAGAGAACAATGACGGCAATGACAAAGCCGTGACCGAAGAGGTTGGGAATGGAGGTTGAACTTGCTTGGCATGGGACGGGTGTGCCAGGGGCCCGGACCCATGACTCCACTGACACCTCAAGAGCCGAGTACTCAGTGGTCCTAAGCACCTGTCGGAAGAGAAAGCTCCCCGGGGCTAAGCACTGAGAAGCTCAGATCCCTGCAATCACTCGTTGGAGCTTCCCCGTGTCTTCATCAATTCGTCGGGTGCAAGTGCAACAACAGATCTCTCGTATCGAATCTGAGAATCGAAAACCGCAGGAGGGACTCAATTGGTTTATTTACCTACCTCGATGCTCAGCAGACTCTCCAGGACGGCGTCACAAGCCCTGCAAAACTCTGGACACCAAACCTTAACTGCCGTGTCAGCTTCAGCCACCACGTTTCGAACTGCCAACTTCACTTTTGCTCCACGATCCTACTCATCCTCATCAGCAAAGATGGCGCCGCCAAAGTCTGCCTACGAATTTCTCGACTTTGTCAATGCTTCACCCACACGTAAGTGCAGACTACCAAGATTATGTTTTTCACATGCTGACAACCGTCAACTAGCCTACCACGCCGTCGCCAGCGCTGTGAAGCTCCTCGAAGCTGCCGGCTTCACGGCCATCCGGGAGCGTGAGAACTGGTCTGCCACCGTGAAACCCGGCGGCAAGTACTACCTCACCCGCAACGGCTCGTCCATCGTGGCTTTCACCGTTGGCGCGAAGTGGAGACCCGGCAACCCAGTCGGTATCGTCGGCGCCCACACGGACTCGCCCTGCCTCCGTATCAAGCCGGTGAGCAAGAAATCCGCAAACGGCTACCTTCAAGTCGGCGTAGAGGTCTACGGCGGTGGCATCTGGCACAGCTGGTTTGACCGCGATCTCGGCGTTGCCGGCCGCGTCTTCGCCCGCGAGGCCGACGGCACCTTTGTGCAAAAGCTCGTCAAAATCGACCGGCCTATCCTGCGCATTCCGCGTCTGGCCATCCACCTCGATCGGGACACCAACTTCAACCCTAACAAGGAAGACGAACTGCTACCTATCTTGGGTTTGGTGGCCAGCCAGCTGAACGCCCCGACCGAAACGCCGCCCGCCCCTGGATCCGAGGCGGGCTCCTCATCAGAGGAGAATTACCAGCCGCTCAAGGAGCTGTCGGAGCGCCACGGCTCGTACCTCCTAGACACCATCGCCGAACACGCGGGCGTCGAGACCTCTCAGATTAAGGATTTTGAGCTGGTGCTCTACGACACGCAGAAATCCTGCCTCGGTGGCCTGCATGAGGAGTTTATCTACTCTGCCCGTCTCGACAATTTGGATATGACATACTGCAGCATCCAGGGTATCATCGAGTCGGTCAAGTCCACCAGCCTAGATAACGACACCTCTATCCGGATGATCGCTTGCTTCGACCACGAGGAGATCGGGTCCACCTCGGCCCAAGGCGCCGACTCCAACATGCTGCCCGCCGTCCTGCGCCGTCTTTCGGTCTTGCCTATCGGCGACAGCCAGACTAGTAACAGCGATGAAGCCTTCGAACAGACTTTGTCAAAATCGTTCTTGGTGTCGGCGGACATGGCGCACGCGGTCCACCCCAACTACGCGCGCAAGTACGAGGCGAACCACCAGCCGCAGATGAATAAGGGGACAGTCATCAAGGTCAACGCTAACCAGCGCTACGCAACCAATTCTCCTGGTATTGTGCTAGTGCAGGAGGCGGCCAGGTTGGCGGGTGTTCCGCTGCAGCTGTTTGTGGTCAAGAACGATTCGCCGTGTGGCAGCACCATCGGGCCAATGCTCTCGGCCAAAATGGGTATGCGCACTCTCGACCTAGGGAATCCACAGCTCAGTATGCACAGTATTCGTGAGACGGGCGGTAGTTGGGATGTGGAATATGCTATCAAGTTGTTTGATAGCTTTTTGGGGAGTTATGGGACGTTGGAGGATAAGATTTTGGTTGATTAACTGGATTGAGTTGAGGCGATTGAATCGGGATGTGACATGACTGGGTGTTTGACGATGAGGGGTAATTTGGTGTTGGTTTTCGCTGAGCGAGTGTCGTCGGCTGTTGAGAGAAGAAGTGCATTCTTTCTAGACGATTAAGAATGTTTGGTTGACGGTATCGGGGTGGCTTGAAGATCATGATGATGGCTGTTCACTCAACCCTTCTTGGAAGTGCCGGTGTTTCTTGCGCGGATGATGGATTGGAGTACAGATATCCGCTGTCCGACGAAAAGGAAACATACCTAGGTACAAACGCTTTAGCATAGGATACGTCTATACATGTCAGAACACAACATGATAACATGAGATGACGAATTCAAATTGTATAGGCATCGCATTGCAAGCATCCAGAGACCTGAGGGAGAAGCAGGCGCTGAGAGATTTATTTTTTTTAAATTTCTTTTTCTAGAGAAAAAGAGAGCGGAAACAAGAAAACTGTCGACTCCCTCAAACCCGGGGATCCGTCGGACACCTATAGGCTTGGGGCCGTCCCAGATCTTCTTGCCCCAGCCGACGACGCCGCCGTGCAGGTTGTTGGGCCCATTGTTGGCCGTGATGGTGTGTTCATCCCGGAATGTGTCTGTGCCCTTGATGTACTCGACGCCGTTCTTCTTGAACAGAGACTCGCCACCCTTTGCAAGCCCGTCTATCGTCGACGTTCGAGTTCCGTTGGTGGCCAGGCCTTGTTCGCCAGGGGTAAGGTGTGTAATTGCAGCTGCAGCAGGACGGCATCTTGCAAGGCCCACCGCTACGGTGGTTGGACAAGTGGCGCCCCGATGCCTTCAAGGGTCATGTCCACGAGGGTGTACTTAAAGGCAAGATCACCAAGATCTACGACCTGGACACTTATGTTATTGAACCTTCACCCGAACGACCGCCCAAGGGCATCCATCATCGTTTGTTATCTGTTTCATGTTTCAAGTTCCCTTTTGTTCGTAAAACTACGGATGATGTAAAGATTCTATCTGCTGGCTCTGTTGGCCGGCTCCGACAAGCTCAACTTTGCACTTTACTGATTGCTCCTACTTGCTATATAGGCCCGCTTTCGAGGGAGAGCAAGCACATACGGCCATAGATAGTGGAAAGCTCGGGATCCCGTCCGCTCTCCCATAGATAAGCCACTAATCGCTAGACTAGTAGTTGGGTCGGTGACGACCAGCGAATCCCTGGTGCTGTATGTTTTTTGCCTCGCTTTTAGCGTGGCGATATCCTCTCATTTTGGGTGTGGAAGGAGATCTCTGAGCCCACGATAGGACCGATAATTACTTCATGTTGATCATCACCACCCTTTCTATCTACCTAAGGTTCTGCCTCCAGTTTCAGGCATGCTTTTCATTTCTGCAGGTTCACAGAAACTCTCATTCTGTCAAGTGCGTTCGTTATTTATCTAGAGTTTCACGACACTGCCTTACCTAAAAGAGGAGGAGGATACCGTCGCGCCAAAAATGAGTCGCGGAATGAGAACTAATAAATACAAAGCCAAAAGTCCAAAAGTGGGGATATCAAGTCGATATAGAACAGCAATATTTTACGAAATTTAAAGACCAAACAAAAAAAAGCTTCTCTCCATTTACAGATGGATGGTTGTTTTTTGAATGCATGCCCACAGCCAGAATCGAACTGACGACCTCATCATGTACCAGATTTTCCTTAGTTTGGCTTGTTTGCCCTTGGTCCGAATGGTCCGAAGAGAAATAATTTTACTAGTGATGCGCTCTACCACTGAGCCATGCGGGCTTTTAATTTGTTGATGAGTTAAGATTCTTGTAACCGAGATTAAGAAGTGACTGACTCGTGGCTTGTCCAGTCGTGGGGAGAGTTTGTACCTTGGGTGGATGGATGGATCCCGGTACGAAGTAGGGTTGTTGTGGAGATGAATGGGGAAAGCCGGACCGGAAACCGGAAAAGGGGTAAAGTAAATAAACTTTGCGGAACATGCTGACGGAACGTGAGGAAGAAGTGCGATTTGATTTCTTGTGGCGAAAGTAAGATATGTTAAGAAAGCCATACCGCGAACGAGGATGGGTGTTATGGCTAATTAAAAGTCGGCGAAATGGAGGTGATACAACAATTGTTGTGATTTTATGTAAATCTCGACTACGGGCGGGTTTGTTTGTGCTACTGACCTCTCATGGCAGCAACAAACACGATTGTAGAAGATGTGAGAAAAAGGTTTACAGAGTCCATGTTCAACCAAAAGCACGAAATAATAATTCGAAGTGTACTAGTATTCTGTATAAAACCTCGACGAAAGACTGGCTACCTACCTATCCCGGGTGTCGTTCCTCTCGTCCTCCTGTCGCTTTTTCTTTGGAGATGGTCCTCCTAACCTCTCTAGATTCACAAGCGACACCTTTTCGGGTTTAATAAACTTTTGAAATGGGTTTTTGTTATAAATTGTTTTGCGGTTTTAGGTTGATCTATGATATAGCAGAAAGAAGAGAGAATATGAACAATGATGAGAAAAAGGAAATAGAAAGAAATGAAAGTAGGAAAGCTATATCTAAGAATGCAGATTCAGTTTTCATAAGACACCGTGAAACCTTTTTCAGTTTCCTCCCCCTGATTTGTTCCAGAGTATTGTTTTTCCCAGTCTGCCGAACCGAAAACCACTCTCGCGCGCGCTTGCTACGCTATAGGTAGGTATATAGTCATAATATCATAATGCTCATCGCGTTCCGTCTCCTTCAGCTCAGCGTCGGATAGCAAAAAAGCAACTCCTCAAAGTTTTTGAGCTTCTGCAACTCAAGCTACTTAAGCTCATCCTCGAGATCCTGCCGTGCAAGTTGCTTATAGACAGGAGTGTTGGTCTTGTCCAGCACCATCAAAGTGCTGGCAACAGAATCGGAGTAGCGTTCGAAGATAGGCGCTCAAACATCAAATCCACAATATCCAATCGAAAATAAAAGTCAGACGACCCGGATATCCAAGTCTTATCGCACATACCTCCTGGGCTTCATATATGCCATCTCTCTCTCCATGTATCTCGACCTCTCAAGAACTATAGGCATGTACGCTCGTACCAACCCCACCAGTAGCTGTCAAACTCAGCATAATGCTCAACATTATCGATGATTAGAGTAACCCGCTCTCCGGCTTTATCATCGATGGTGGAGTAAGTCACCAACTCTTCCGGATCGTCATCGGTATCCCAATCAACCGACTCTTCAGCTTCATCATCAGCTTCTGACTCTTCCGGTTCATGATAGTTTTCGAAAGGATCGGCTTCGTAGAAGGCAACCGGCCCTTTGGGCATATCATCGTCCTCGATGACCAAATCGTCGACCATATCAGCGGCCCGGTCATCCCAGTCGTGATCGACCTTGTCATAAACCATGTAAGTGGTCTTCTTGACCGGCTGACCGATAGCGCCCCAGTTCTCGACAACTCTCGGCTTCAGATCTGGTTCCGGTGCCGAATTCCGACTGGGAGCCGTCGGTGGGCCAATCGGCTCCGAGGTCAAGATGAGAAGAGTCTTCGACATGCGTTCCTTCATGCACTCGATGAACTTGGCCAGCTTGTCGGGCGTGTCGAGGTCGATGTCGTTGCCGAACACGAGCTTCAGAGCCTCGTTGTGCCAGGGCTGGAGGAACTTGCCCATCACGGCGTAGTAGATGTGGAACGGGCAGAAGGCCAAATCCGCACGCTGGTTAGTTTGCTCGGAAAACGTGCGGATGGTGATGGTTCCCGGGGGTTGGCGAGGATGACCAGAGGACAATGTACAATAGTGGCAGCATGGGGATGATATATCGGCGGCCGGTTCCTTGACGCTGTCGAGGTGGTCCGCCCAGGGGATACTTTTTCGTGTGTTAGTAAAATCGATTATGGGCAAGGTAGATTATGAGATGGGGGTTAGGAGCGCAACTTACGCTGCAAACAGATGGCGACCAGGAAGTGAAGCACGATTATGGCCGGGGTCGAGGATGAGATTATTCCACTCTCCAGCTGAATCGTAGTGGCGCTCTAATAACGAATTGGGGTTGTTAGCAAAAGAAGGTTGACGATATTATCTCTCGGAGGAGGCGTATTGACGAATATGAGTCCGGCACGCACAAGAGAAGATTGGAGAGAGAGACTTACGTTGACCAACAATCGATGAGCCATTGTCCAAGGGCGTATGAAATACATCTTTACCCTCTCGAGACAGTAACCACGGTATCGTGATCCGTTCACGATTGCTGGCGGCAGCAGGTGATGGCGGAGAACCCGACCAAGTAGGCAGTCGAAGAGGTCCCAAGTTGGGGTGGAACAGCTCGGCTTGACTCAACAATGCGCCGCTAGGTCGGCCGACATTGTAGACTGTCCAGTGGTCTGGGCGGCGTTTCATGGGCTGCCCGTCATTGTTCGTGATCATTAGTCCGGCGAGAGAACACTTATCAATCATATGCGCCACGACCATGGCGGCCAACTTCTCCTCTGTAATAGGCATGCTGGCAGAGTTTATACAGGGCTGAGTATACTGTCGAATGAGGTTGTCTGGGTCTGGAAACATGTGGTGCCTTGTGATATGCTGTGTTCTGGAGATGTTAGGAAAGGAGGAGAAGGGGGCATTTATATACTCCCTTCTTTCATTTTAAGCTTTCGTATCTGGTGGCTCTAACTTTCGAGTTGACAGGCACATCGTGAGTCACGAAGTTTAATACATCGACGGCGTGCTTTGCGAACTTCCACTTGTGATGACCCCGTATCAGATCGCTTTGGATCACCATCACCCTAGTGTTCACGAAAGGGCCCATGACAACCATCTGTGGAGGAGAGATGGAAGGAAAGTTCAAAACAGCCACATAACACGGAACTAAAGAGGTGTATTCGAAACCTTCCTGGAAGGGGCGAAGGTTTTGATATGTTAAACTTAGAGGCTCGTGGATTCATGCCGCGGGAACAGAACGCCGCCACCCTGCCCGTTAACAGCTCCCCAACAACATGGTGACTCGCGTGCAAAAGTATGGGACCACCTTTGATCCGATGAGGTTCTGAAATTACATGCTGAACCTCCGATGGACAGTACATGGGATGGCCAACCATTCGTTATCGAGACCATCGCCAGTTGAGTGACACATCCGACACTCCATCGAACATACCTTGTCACTCCTACTCGTCGGAGTCAGACGTCTTGAACCAAACTTTCCAATTAGCCAGCTGATAATAACAAACTCTACTATGTTTTGCAGAGAGCGAAGCCTAATGAGAAAAAGGCGGGCGGTTGTTGGCCCCCTTTTCCAGTCCTCTTTCCGCATCCTACCCTACGTTGTTTGTTCCCCATCGTCGTCACCACCCTTCGTAAGCAAACTATCTTTGAACAAGATTCCACGATAATTACAGCCGACGACCCTCGATCATGATATTTTGCAGAGAGCAAAGCTCCAACGTCATGAAAAAAAAACCGGGGAGGGGGGGGGGGGTGGTTGTCGACCACCTTCCAGCCCCTTTTTCACTTCTACCAGAGGCGGTCCTTCCTCCATCACCACCACCACCCTGATCGCTCGAAAACGAGACCTTTTCTCCATAGAAGAGCGCAACAAAAGCTAGAGGTTATGTTATGCTTAGGTGCTGGGAACTAGTAGCCCACCGCGACACATCCATAAACCATAAACACAAGCTCCTAGCTTGTCAATTTTCAATTGGGTTTCCTAATCGAGGTACACCGAACTATCGAGGCTATGATTCACACAATACGAACCCTCACCCCCACAAGTCCCAGAGGCTTTCAGTTCAGGACTGGAAAGTATGTTAGCTGGGGACTTCGCCCCACAGTACAACAGTCGCCTTTGTTTTCCTGTGTTTCTCCTTGCGCTCGAGGTAGCTCTAAACGTTTGCCGGTATTTTTCCAACTGAGTCTTTAATTCCTTTAAACCTATCAACTTTTCAGCCATGCTCTCATCTACTGGAAGTACCGCACTTACAAACAGACTAGGGGGGTATTGTACATCCCGTTACGATTCTCACCAACCAAAAACATGTTGCGGCAACTTAAACCCAGTCAAAAGTCTATCCATTCTTCCCCACGCCATCCATCCAACCACGTACGTGCCTCTAATCTACCTAAATCAGTAGGTACATGTGCTTAGGTACCCACTCGACAACATATTAGAAAAACAAAACGGTATCAACAAAAGACCGCCATCACCAGAGGAAGGCGAAAACAGAAACGCCGTTTGCTCAAATGCTCACCAGAATGAACAAGTACCATACAAACTAACTGCCCTGAAGCAAATACAACAACAGCGACGAAAAGAAAGGGGGTATGTGAATATGTAGATATATAATGTACTATAACCAAAAAAGGGAAAGAAAGAGAGTTCATCATGAATCGTCGTCAGGGCGAGTCCTGGCCGATTAAAAGTGTGCTATGTACCCAGAGCTTAAGGGTCGATAAACCAAGAGGGGATGTGAAAAAGACAAAGAAGGAAGTTTTCAAGCAGGTTACGATCAAGCAGTCACAACCGCAGGCGGTTCAACCGGCATGATCGGCCCTGACCTCGACGCGCCGGGTGTACTCGGCGGCGCAGGAGCGATTTCTGGATCAGGAATTTGGATGTCGAGCTATTTTCTGTCAGTCACACACCTCAATATGGTCCACGAGAAAACATACCGTCATATAACCAGTCCGCCTGAGCGGTATAATCCTCGGCGGGACCACACCCTCGACATGTCCCAACTGCTTCTCCATATCCGCATTCCACTGCTCGATCCACTTCTCCAGTTTCTTCAACCTCGTCTTGACGCCCGTAAATCCA